ATAGTACGTAACTTCTTAGATTGTTTGAACAACGCCTTGTAGAGCTTTCTTTTCATATAGACCTTTTTTGCTGCTCGAGGATAAGCTCGAATTACGCTAATGCATAAATTATGCATCAACATAAAATCTAGCGTCGCACGACTGATGCTACCTCTGAGTTCTGCTTTGAACGCACTGTGAAAAGTAATTGAAATGTAAAAATTGTAACTGAAACATACAAAACTTTTTTGTGGCTTCTGATATTTCAAAACATTTTCATTTATAAGCGATTTTTGAGCAAATGGCTCTACCTATGGACTACGAGTAAGCCGAGTGGAGAGCAAGGACTCCTTGAAAGATAATTTGCAAACCTAGTCTTTTTTTTTGCGGAATTTCGACATTGTTTGATTATTTGAATCAAAGCAGGTCAGTTGCACAATGTCACATCTCAAGCATTTTCAAAAAAGCATCTTGCAACCTAAATTTAAAAAGGTGTCTCCATCCGCTCCCCTCCAAGCTCGCCACTTATGCGCTAAAATCTCATGCGCAGTATTATTTTTATATCCATGCTAATTTACTCAAAATTGCCACCATGACAACAATTTTTTTTCAAATAGAACTGTCGAAGTAAGTCTTGATTGATGAGTGAAGGAGAGGGTAAATTAGATCGAAGAAAGCTAGCTCACAATGGCATCCTATATAGAATTCCAAAAATAGATTCAGTCCTAACCTTATCAAGTACATAATCAGCATGAAGCGGTCGATGGCTAGGATTCACCCTCGGAGTGGTGTCAGTTGTTCCTATCAATGGAGAGTCAGCTACGGAGCTGGTGCCCTGAACAACCTTCGAAATTTTCTGGTTAAAACCAAGCATACTGCCTCACTTTACGACCAGCTGCTAAAAGTTCTCCGAGTGAACGATCATCTCTGTCCTTAGTTGGTGAACATTCCTCAGTGATGTCTTTCATGATCTCATCTTCGTCAAAAATCTTTCCGGTCTCTTCAGCCCGCATTTCCTGGAAGTTGGAAACTAAGCGGCTCCACCAAACTTGGGAGAGCTGAGCTTAAACAAGCCAA